AGGCAAGGCAAGGCAAGGCAAGGCAAGGCAGGCAGCGGGGGAAAGTGAGTTCACAGTTGGATCAGCGCCACACTGGTAAGCGCAGTCAACTGCACCGCAGCGGTTGCACCGACAGCCGCGTGCTCACAGAGCGTGCAGCCACCTTTTTTCTCGCTGCACCTCGAATTCGGTGAGGGGCTCCTGAGCAGCAGCATCATCAGCGCCTTGGAAAATTTGGTGAGTCAGGCAAAGCGGACCCCAGAGCAGCGCTCTCCGCTGTAGCAACTTTTGCAATTTGACAGAAAGGCCCCCTCCTCTCAAGGTTTCGCCGGCCGGGGAGCGAATTTGCGCTGCGGTGCGTCCGATACAAAGCCCTTGGAAACCCTTCAAGTTCAGGCGCGCTTGCGGGCGAAAATTCTTAACTAGCTATTGAAAGAAGCAATACAAAAACAGAACTACAAAGTGAAGGCAATTTCTAATCAGACAACAGCCGCGTAAAACACCGCGGTGGGCGGTCGAATTTCATCGGGGCTTGGAGGCGGCTTAGAGGCGGCTAGAAAGGGCTGGTGGCTGCAAAGTTTTCGATGCGTCCCAGATGCGATGCGGGCAGTTCGAAACGAAGAGCCAGCTGCTTCGAACAGTCACAGGCCATTGTTGCTGCGTGGAATCACGAATACATAGGATTGAGGGGCTGACTTGGCTGACCACCGCCTGGCTCACGATGAACAGGGGGGAGAGCAGAAACGTGGCGCGGTGGGTGAATCCAGGAGGCACCTCGAGATCGTGCGTGTGGCAGCATTTAGACTCAGCCCTCAGCAGCTCGACCGCGCGCCGAGCTGGAGCGCTGCCACCTCTCGCGCGGATTGGCGCGCGCCTGGCTGAGAGGCGGCCTTGGCAACGTCGGAAATCCATGCCGAGGCTAGCTTGGCCCTTCGCTTGCCGTGGCCTGCAAGCGCTGGAATGGTTCGCCGAACTCGACTGACGATGGTTTGACGGTCTGACTGGGGCTTCGACGTCCTGTGAATCCAGGATGAGACGTCGAGCACGAATCTGGGCTGTACCGGAGCGAGCTGCTCCAAGCGCGACGGAGATGCGTAAAGCATGTGATTGCAGACTGGCTTAGGAGCTGCACTCGTTGCAGTCGCTGCAGGGTGCTGCCGCACGAGACAGCGAGGCGACGCGCACGCGACTAAGGGTGCAGTTGGAAATGGCGTAAATGAGACAATGTCAGGGAGATTTGGCGGGCGTTGGGCATGTGAGGCTGATGCATCGAGCTTGCTGCCTCCAGACAAGATTCGACTTGGCTCCATCCCCGCTGCTAGCCAAGCCAATCCACACTCGGACCGGTGCTTGGAGCGAGATTGCCGCGCATTTTAGTATGCTGTAGATTCGACGTGGGGCTGGCTCGGTTAAAATCCAGTCGCCAAGGCGGTGCATGGCGCGCAAAAGCGAGGCTACAGTATCCATCAAAGGCGACGACGATGAAGACAGCCACGATCCCCTACGGACTTTGAACGTGCTGGGAAAGGCTGTGAACGGACGAGCTCATGGGCGCGGGAAGCGGGTCGCTTTGCGAACGAAGAGCCGAACGAGAGGCAGGCCCGGGACGTCATGTAGCCTGGCTTAGTGGGCAAACCAGGCAGCTGCCTCTAACGCTGTGCAACTCTCCAGTCCCTCCTCCAATCGCTCGGCATCCTAGCGTAGCATGAGGTGGGAGGCCTCGGGCCGATACCACGCGAGAGTGCCATCAGTGCGGATCATTGGTGCAAACAAGCTCGGGGCGGAAGCCGAGATTTGCGGTGTTGGAGCATGCGAGACCAGTCAAGTTTTCGGGGCGCTTTTCGCTTCGTCCACCCGAAAGTGAGGTGGTGCGGGAGGAGCTCACCCGATCGGGCACAGCCCAGGCCCGAAAAGCCTAAGCCAAGTGGCAGTGAGCCGTGGGGGACCCCGGAGCTAAATTTGTCCGAATTCTTGAAATTTTTTCGAAAAAGAAAAGGCGAGGTAGCTATGATATCACTGCTGCAGCAAGGCGAGACCGGATCGACGGACGTGCCAAATTTCGTAGAAAAGAAAAGAAAAAAAGGGAAAGAAACAAATGGCCAATTGCGGATCGGAGGTGGAGAGCGGCGCCCGCGCAGTGACCCTGAATTTTGGGCGTGACATGACAGTGGATTCCTGCGCAGCGGCGCAAAGTGAACCTGCATTCAAGTGCCTGTCGCTCTGCCGATCCTTTGCTTTTTTTTTTTCTGCTGCCAAGCCCGCCTGCGCTGCCCAGGTCCGGCACTCCCCCTCTCTCCCCCGCCTTTGGACGCTCTCTCACCGGCCTCGGCCAAGCTCCAGAGCCGCATCGGAGTCGGTCAGTATCAAGCACCATCGCAACATCTCGATCCCCGTCCCGCTTCTGCTTGGCAACTCACCACCACCACCACCACCACCACCACC